AGTTGGGGGGGGGGGGAACCAGATATGCCCCTGACCACCAATCTTGAATTAGGAAACAAAAGTTGGAATCATCATGATTGACTAGGGGTGAGACACTCATCCTTAGCTTGAATCAAACATCTCTATCTTTTTAACAGGAGGTTTTCCTATCCATTCCATTAGAGCAAGATTTGAGCCTCCTGTCTCTTTGGAGTCTAATTGTCCAATGTGTGTATCATCAGATACTAAGGTTAAAGCAGACAACGGCTCAACAACTTGAGCTGTTATATCAACTGTCCTTTCCCCCTCCTCAATTACTTCAGATGTACTATTAGCTGCAATATGGCATCCATCTTCCAGCAATCCAGTTAATAGTGCATCTGTGTTTGATTCACTGTCTAATATGCCACTTGGGGTTCCTTCTGAGTGAGGATTTTTACATTCATCCATTTGATAACTTGCTATGTTTTCCACCATCATCTCCCCAGCTATTTCAGTAACAAGTTGCTTTGACCTCTCCATTTCATTCTCGGCTGTTCTAATCACTGATTCATCTACAGAAGAGGGGGTAGCGTGGGTGTAAAGAGCTTCTGGGTAGCCATATTGTTGTATTTCTGTGTCACAACTGCTGCCCTCTTGTTCTTCATTCATAACCATCTCAGCTGCTTGTTCCAATTCCACCAGGTCCAAGCCAACATCCTCTTTGTTTACTTTAACCTAAGTGGGACCAATAGTTATCACTGTTATCAACAATAAAAATCAAATAGAAAACTTAAAAACTAAAAATCATATTAAAATTGTAATTACAATGCATCTTTTTCATAAATTTTAGTTATTGAATCAGTGTTCAAAGTAAAATGAAAGTTATAAAATGGTCAAAGGATCATTTAAGTCTGACATTTCATTGTGAGGTTACAGAAGTTTAAACGTACAGCTGTTAAAAGAATAGTATTTGATGCCTTTTTAGGGATTTCTCAGGCAGACACCATCACCAAATCCTTAAAAAATGACGTCTTATTGTTGAAAATAGGGGTAACAACAACATAGCATGATATATAAATGATGGTTTAGTGCATTAAAATAGATTTCACAAATTTTAACCTTCCAACATATTTTGGCCCTTATCTCTGAAACACGATTTGCGAGGAGTGCAGTGTTGGCGCCACTATTTGCCCGACAGTGTTCCAGGGGGTGACGCCCCCGAAAAATATAACAATTTATGGATTTCAAAGGCTTGTTTAATCAATTTTGTAGTCTACTAATATGTAGGAAATACATATAAATTTTTTTCTCCCCGACGAATTGTAGTTTTTCTCCTCGACAGGGGTCCTGCCCCCACTGGTGCCACACCTGGAGGAGTGAATTGTTTGGCTTGTCTTGAGGTCTACACCAGTGTAACACTTGTGTAGAAGAACTTAATACATCATAAAACTTCTGAATCAAATGCTAATCGTCCTTACCTTTTTAAGAGCTTTAGCTATTGAATTCAACCTCCGTTGACTAACAGATTGGATCCACAGGCAGTACTCGGTGATGTACAGCTCATTAAGAATGTATCTTGGGTCGTCATGTGACAACAGACGGTGGATCTCAAGTAAACATTTCAATAGACGTCTTCGACCTATCATAAACAACAACATTATGTAAACAAACAACCTTATGAAAACATCATATAGAGGGAGGGACCTCTATAGAAATAAGATATTGAGATTACAGAGCAGTCAGGCGCAGCGGTTGCGGTTCTGTTCTTAACCGCAAGGTCGGAGGTTCAATCCCTCGCTGTGCATTTCCCTTGTGTCCCTAGGCAAGGCACTTTTTCTACGGTTGTCTCTCTCCACCCAGAAGTACAATTGGGTACCTGGGAGGCTCAAACACAATATGCGCTGATTACAGCTGCAACATTATGGAATTCTATCCAGGGAGCGGAGTATGTGTTCCATTATGTGCTTGATTCAGTGACCAGGGGTAATATTGTGAAGCGCTTAGAGGCCTTGTTAGCATTAAGCGCTATATAAGTCTAACATATTATTATTAAATATAGAGTTACCCGAGCTTTCCATGTGCAAATAAGTAATAATTATTATAGTTGTGCTATTTGTTTTTGTGAATGATATTTGATGGTGTAATTGTTATTTGACCTGTGTATCCTGTACATTTTTTTTTTGTTAAACCAAGCACTCGCAGTGTCGTGCGACTGTCATCCCTGTGAGCGCTAGACGACGCAATTCCGTCTGCTGATTGTCAGTGGCAGTATGAACGGATCCTCATTAGGATCGATATGTTGCACGCGCGTCGTGACATTGCGCTCTCCAAAGAATCGCTTCGCCCGAGGACCCAGCTTTACTCTCAATGATATACTTTGTAATATGGAAATGAAAAGTAATAAATATTAAAAAAAAAAAAAATTGTCTATTACTTTTTAAATAGTAGATACAGCTATGTTAGTCTGGTAGATGTGTACTTGTGCCAGCAGTCTACGATGGCTTCATCAGATGTTGTCACCTAATAAAGCCAGCATCGACTACTGGCAATAGCTTGTGTATTAAACAATTGAAGTTAGTCTATAAAGTCCTACCAGTATTTTTATTTTATTTTTTTTTTAATCAAAGAAGAAAATACAGTTTTTACCTAAGCAAAATATCTTCTTTACATCTATTAAAACTTTATTGCTAAGCTTCCAGTGTCGGTAGAGGGGGTAAGTGATACTTCTACGATAGTTAGCTTCCAACACTTCTTGAAGCGAGCTGAATGAATCCAGCCAACTTAGTGACGAACTTAGCTTGCAGACTGTCCATGCCGATTCCACCTGAAGTTGAATGATTAATAATTATCAGCACGGTCGAATCAATTAATGTTTTGTAAAAAATTTAAAGTAATCAGATTAAATATCAATGCTTACTGTATTTTCACCCTCCGTTGTCCTATGGTTATAAGCATATGCAAATATTATATCAACCAATGAGAGTAAAGCTATGGTGTCACTTTCTTTTTCATGAAGAATCTCTTTTCGAGGCAGTTGTCTCATCTGCTCCTTCTCCTCCTCAGAAAAAGTGACTGAAAAACAAAACAGAGAATTTTAATGATTTAGTCAAGTTGATGTACACACCTCTGTTGGCAAAAAAATTCATTTCTTGCACTATGTCACTGACCATGGGGGTTTAGGAACAATACTAGATATGTCCTGCAGTGTCGATAAGCACCCACAATTCATCATTAAAAGTAAAATCCAAGTGCTTAAAAACATTGTAAGAGAAATAAAGTGAAACAAAACCAATACATAAACTTACAGGCCGCCAAGATGCAACAACTAAATAAGTAATTATTATTCTCTTTTTTGCCAATTGAGTGTGGTAAATGATTTTATTCCTTGTATTAAAAAATTGTAAGTATTATCCCATCAGGCAATCAATCAATCAATCAATCAAAGATTTATTTCTTTCAAAGAAAGATACAATCATCATAATATAGAATTGCAATGGGTTATGCAAAAAGCTTAAATAATGTTTGGAAATAGAATGTTAAAGTAGACCGAGGTAAATATAGAGGACAATGCTCAAAAAGTGACATCAGGTGATATCAACTGGCACTTTGTAGCAAGCGTGCTCTAAGTAATAACAAAATTAACAAAAGACACAAACAATATACCCATACACACACACACACGCACTAATATACAAAAAAAACCCATTTAGCAACACAATATCAGATTTGAATCTAAGCAATAGGGCTTCAAGTAAGGTACACAGCCATTTATACTACATTCAGACTTACCAATATTTTCTTCATCAAATGGTGTCTGTTCATCTTCTTTCACTTCATTAACTTGTTTCTTCCTCAGCTTTGTGTACTCGCTTGCCCACGGTGGCTTGTAGGCTAGTAAACTCTGAACAATCTCATCTTCATACAAATCAGCCCTGCAAAATGATTTCAAAAATAAAAATTTCTAAATGCAAGAACAAATTCTCTAAACATTTTATTTCAACATATTTCCCCCTTAATTCTTTAGACATTTCAACATATTTTCCCTTTAATATATCTTTCCATTTTCTTTTTCCTTCTCTTTCTTTAAATCCACTTTCTTTTCATATGGGATTTTCATCCTTTTCCTTTTTGGTATGTAAAGCACATACAGGCAATATAAAGTCTTAACACCAAGTTTCCATAAATCTAAATCTAAAATGCTTGAGGTATCTCTGGATCTAATTATCGTAGGAAACTAATTGTATTGTCGCTTACAGATAATGATCTTCATCAAATTTTTCATCTTCATCCTCTATTCTTCCCTTCTTCCTGACTGCAGGTGTTGTGTTATCAGGGTCCTTCACATCAACAATACCACACAGTTCTTCCTAAAATTGAAATAAAAAACACATAGAATGCTATTAACATGTAACTTAACAGCAATATAGAAATCTTAGAAGATAAGTGAATTGGTAGCGGTAAAAAGTGGGTAATTTATAGTACACCTTAATTTTCGTTGAATGCCAAAAAAAAAAAAAAGTATGGTGAACTTTTCATTTTAACTCACTTGCAATCTTCGAAACACACCACTCTTTTTGTTAGCAAAGCCATAGCAAGCATTGCCGAGAGTTACTGTTTCATCATCCAAATAAGGGGCTTGCACCACCTGCCAATCAATCTCCTCCTCATCACCATCATCTAAGGTATCATCTTCAAACATGTGACCAGAGCCGGCTTGTACAGAACACTCTGAAGAACCTTATAAAAACAATTATAAAATGTAATACAGTAATTCAAGGGAAATTTGAATGCCAAACCATGATGTTCACCGATAAGCATGTAATGAGACAGTGCCAAAAATCTAAGAAGAACGTGGAATGAAGATAAATATCTTGAAGGTTAAGATGCTTGCTTTCCAATCCCAGGGTCCTGGGTTCAATTCCTGTCAGTTTTGCAGGATTTTTTCTCACAACCAAAAACAACTCCACTCCCAGAACCTTATATTGAGATTTAGTTTGTGTAAAGTATTGTGTGTGTATGTTTGTCTTGTGCAAGGGATTATCACCTACAAGTAGGACAGTGATATATTCACTATTGACAATCCTTGGTGCATGTGTTGAATGCTTAAATAAATAAAAAAATAAAATAAAATAATGAGACTTGTAGAGCCCTTTATGTATATGTTTGTACATTGGTGTATGCAAGGGGATCAGGAAGGTTGTACGACCCCCCCCCCCCAATTTTCAAAGGTTTACATTTTTTCCAAAGACATTTTTTTCTTATTGCCTTTTCACAATGACATAAATAAAAAAGCATTGATGAGGTACCAGCAATGAATCCAAAGACCTTGCCAATTGTGTTGACGTAATCTATCTCAATTCCAGCAATTCTGAAACTGAGCCTGCCATCCGCTTTAAGCAAATTGTATTGACATTTTAATCACATCTTGCTGTTATATCATTATGAAAAGGTCAAAAAAATTATGATCATGACCCACCCAGAAAAAAATTCTGGATACACCCCTGTTGTATATGTGAAAATATTGCCACTTGGAGAAGTGGTTATTAAGTTCATTGTTTGGCATATCTTTGGTTTGGTTGACCAACGATGGTTTGTATCAATTTCTTTAGAATTGCTTTAATTTACAATATATAAAAATGCTGTGTTTCCAAAATGATGTTTGTAATCCATATAAAAATCACACATTAAAAAAATTACTTTGTTAAATAACTATACACTGCCTATTTAAAACATACACAATGACTAAATAAATAATAATATATGTGCAAAATCATTAATTTTCTTCTTAATTTTTTTCCAACTGAGCAACCTATTCAGTGGTGAGATATTTATACTACATACATTCCAATACTGCAAATTTTTTTTTTTTTTTTTAAATTTAGGATTACTTCAATAGAGTAGCCTACCTGTAACCTCAATACAAGCCCCTTCAGTATGTGTTTGTCCACTGGGTGCAAGAAGCTTTGTCAACATGTCCAAACCTTCAAAATATTCCCCTTTTGTTTCCTTTGGAATGGTGATGGTGAATGATCCTAAAAGTAAGAACAAACAAAATATTAATTAAAGCAATGTTTTATTTCGATAAAACTTTATGGTTATCATCATGTTTCATTAAATCATTAAAAAATAAAGTGACAAAAGATCTTTGCACTCTTGATCATCAAGGCATACAAAGTTTTGTGTGAAATTAAAAATTCACTTTGGCCCTCCGACAGATTTTTAAGCCCACCCCTGATTTACGGTAGATTAATGCTACCTAACTAACAGGTCAAAACATACTCCCAAGGGTTAAGCCTACATAATAACAACAAAGGCATGATTCCTGGTCTGAATACTGTCAACACCTTGAGACAATTAGTTTGTGGAAGGCGCACTACAAATATATTACCATTACCATTACAAAAGCTTTGACAGAAATAAAATACTGTTACTTACCACAGTTATAAGAAAAACACAATGATCATACCTTCATCCGCATTGTACTTGGCAGATTCATTACCATCCTCAACCAATGCTCCGGGAAGATTTAATCTGTCAGATATAGATTTATCCATTTATTATTTCATATTCAAAAACGTACACTTAACAATTATATGATGGAACGTAAGATGATGAAAAGCTTATTATGATTCAATTATGCCACAGCTTCACAAAATGATTTTTTACACATTGATCATGTTGAGCAGGATGCTGCAGAAATGGAATGGAAGATATAGAGAAATGGAGGAGAGTAAATAATTTGGTTAAAGGTAAAACTATGTTAGGCCTATGTGAATGGATAAGTTTCTTGTTTCACGCCCACGTGGTATGCAATCTTATGTTGTGATTCTTCACCTGTTGGAGTATACAGTATTTGATGGGAGAACTGGTGGTTTGTTGGATATGGCCATATGCGCTTTTGATCTAAGGGGAGAATTTGAAAATCTGCATACAGTATAACAAAACAAGTGAGCCGCACGACGGCAAAAGATCAAGCAAGACACCAGTTTAATAATTTATGGTAGTTACCAATTATACTATATAATATATGCTTTTATATAAATAAACATTTTGTGGAGCAAGGAGGCCTTTCAATAACATCATCTATCTCTACCCAAGAGTATAAGAAAGGTAGGTACTAAACATTGGCAGAATCAAGGGGGGGGGGAGCAGAGAGTCGGCCCAGCCCCCCACCCCTCTAAATTTTTTAAAATTATAAATAAAATGGAGAAAGGAAAAATATATTCAAAATTAAGTGCCATTTCCAGCCATCTAGAGGTTCCTTAATCGCAAATTTTCTTACCTCAGCCTCAACCATGGTGGGCTGATGTAGGTCTATTATGTATTAATGTGTAATTATTTACCTTAAGAAGTACGGCTTTGAGTAGAACTTGAAAACACTACCATCTACATAAATCTCGGCATCAGACACTTTGGCAAATCTCGCCTTGACCACTACTGTAATGCTAACTGCATCCTGGGTAATCTCAAATGCTGGTGTTAACATGGTGCTTCAACCATCCATGGTTAAAACTGCAAAAAGATTGGCTGCCATAAAAATCTTAGGACTCTGTGGAAGAACAAAAATTACTAATAGTACTACCAGACAATGAAACAAGTGTCATAATTTTGGGTTCGAGTGTGAGGTGGCTTATTACCAAACTTTTCAATCTTGTTTTGGTTTTACTCTGGATTTTCTTTTTCATGATGTGAAGTACATAGAGTCTTTATGTATTACACACTACATAAAAATAAATTTATTATTTTTAACAGAAATGCATGGTGGGAAATATGTTTAATATTCTACCACACAAGAGTAGATACTTGATTACTAATAAAAAATAAATGTTTATAGCCAGAATTTTCTGATGACATATAGATGATAAATGATAGAACTACAATTGCATGCATTGTCATACCACCCTATCAGATAGGACTATGTAATGTAAATTTCTTGAAATCCAAAGGCAAAACCATAAATTGGACAATTATTGCACTAAACGATCGTGTTTATTGATTTTAAGCCAGTACTAAAATCTACTGCACTCTTTTAATATTTGAAACAGTTCCACATACGTGTAGTTTCATTTCAAGGGTTGAATCGCAAAATATGGTCATTTTTAACTATTTGAGTGATTTTTTTGCTTCGGACATTCTTAAATGTTGGGGGAAACTGGGGGTCAAGCATTTTTTAGAGGCATGTGAATCAGCACAACCCCTAGATATGCCACTGGCTGCCTCTGTGTAAGTTCCTCCCTGGGCCCCCTCTATCTCGATTTCCTGGATCCGCTACTACATGTGGTCCAGTGTGGATTAGAATCCCAAAATGTTAGGTGTGCGCCTCTTCTCTGCTTATTGAAAAATATGTGCGCAAAATCTAAGGAAAAGAATCCTCAGAATTGTTTATAAATATAATAATAAGGTTCAAATTTTATAACTCTGAATAAAACACTTGGCATTTAACTGATTTTCCATACTTTTTACTACAAAAATTAGTTAAATTTGTTTAAGTGTATTAATGCATCTGTTAAAAAAGGCAAGGAATATGTATTTAAACTTTTTTCAAAACTAATAAGTCCCTAAATTTAGTTAAAACATAAAAAATACAATATTATACAGTACTGTATTAAATTAATTGGCTAAAAACATATCTGCGGGAACTGTGTTGTTTTGGTTAATTTTCTGCTGAGCTATTTACCTCAAAATATTAATTTTTCATGTTGACAAGCCAAGTTGATTCTTGTATTATTGTACATCATGTTTACAGATACAGTATTGTAATGTTCTGAAACATCTTTGCAAAATGTGTTTATGTTCCCATCGCGCGGTGGCCTCTCTAGGCCCCTATATAGAGCCGCCGTTAGATTGCCTAAAAAGGCCTAGGGCCCAGACTCTTGGCTAGTAGTTACTAGTAGGACTGATCAGCCTCCTAGCCTAGGCTAGCTAGGCCCTAGGCCTGGTTTAGTTAGGCCTAGTCCTAGGTGCTAATGCAGGTGTTTACACCTAGGCTTCCTTTTAAGTTAAACTAGCAGAATTTTAAATAACGGAATGTGACAATAACATGAACAAAACAAAGTAAGCAAAACATTGAAACGTAAACAAGATTGTAATTATTTACACGTGTTCTTCGGTGGTTCAGCAGGTGAATGAGTCACTCTATTTTTAATTCATCAGTGTCACGTTGCCTTCAAATTTTTATTGTATAATAATTTATTTAAAGGTATTATACATATAATTACTATGAAGCTATTTATAATAATATAGGTATGTACAAAGTCTATTTATTTTATCAAATTACATAAAAATATATCTGTTAAAAATTCAAATTTTCCAATAAAATTTACAATTAAAAAGAAGGATAGACACTGACCAATCACAACAAGCAAATGAGTCACGCCTTCCAAAATATAAACAAATAAAATTAAAAACAAGATCATACGATACGACGACAACGATGAACTTCTTGGGAAAAATAAATGAACAGACCTGAACGGCTGATCAAGAACAAAATCGCCTGTCCGTTATAATTATTGGTATATTTAATAAATGATGTATGTTTTAGTAAATTTATTTTTACTTGATTTAGTTTAGGGTAGGCCTGGGCCTAAAGAAGAGTAGGACTAGGCCTAGGCTAGCTAGGCCGAGCTTTTAGGTTAGGGGCGTAGGCCTAGCCTAGAGAGGCTACCCTATTCCTAGTCTAGGGTGGGCTAGCCTAGGCCTAGGTTAGATAGGAAGGATAGAATATGAAGTAATGTGTAGGCTCTAGCCTATTATAGTAGCTAACTAGGCTTCGATGATATTTCAGGCCTAACTAAGGCAAAAGTAAAAAAAAGAAAAAAAAAAGCATGGTTAATTAAATTGGCCGATTAACAATATTAAAACAGAGAGAGCTTATCATCATAACATACAAAAACAAAGCATCGAAGAATTTCTTGACTTTATTGAGACATTCCAAGATCTTGTTTGTTTACTTTTAATGTCTAGCTAGCTAGGCGTGACTTCTTCAATTCGCATTTATAGTATCACAAAAAGTATCTCTCCCGCCTTCAGAAACTGCAAAAATGTCAATATAATATATAGGCCAATTGAAAATTAAAATATTAAATTCTATTTGTTTCTCTTTTACAGGACAATGGCAGTGAATCACCAGCATGGCATGTTATTGTCATTTAAGACAAGGTTGTTCTACAGAAGTGTTGAAAATAGAATCTCAAGACCAAAAATGTACAGCAATAGACAGTTTACAGTCAGAAAACATTTTAGGAGGATACAAGTAATACAGGGATCACCTGGGAAAAGTAAATTCAATATTTACAGTATCTGTGATACTAATGTACAACATCTACAATCAATCAGTCTGAATTCAATTCCAAAGAGAGGTAGCTCTTCAAATCATGGAGGAAAACACAGTGAGAATAATTCATTAAAAACAAATGATGTTTTTCGGTTGTCTCGAAATGGAACTGTTGAAGTTCTGAACAAAATAAACACTGGAATTGAGCAGCGATACTCGGAGATGAAGCAAAAGTCAAATGCGATGATGAACTCTATTAAAGAGACAGTCAGTAAATCCACTGTTAGTTTTCGTCCGGCTACAATATTTCAGTCGAAACCAGATGGGAATTATGCTGACAAGAGAGGGCAGTGTAAACCAGAGGAAGCAGATGCTCATCATAAGGAACTGACTTCAAACGAAACTGATTTCAAATCTGAACATTTCAACTCAATTGTCTCGTCTGAAGACTCATCAACACATTTAATAGAAGAAAATAATCCACTTGAGAATAATAATACAGCTAGTTATAATAACATTGGCATACAGGATAATATGTCAAATTCAGAAGAAGATAATGTAATTGTCAATGAAAAGACTGTAGACAATGTAAACACGCAGAAGATGAGAAAGATGATGTCTCTACCTTCACTCAGTGATCTTAAATCAACATCCTCGTATAAAAATGCTACCTCATTTACTGAAAATACTTTGAAAAAAGCTGCAAGCAAGACCGACAGCATGACGCTGGATTTGCAAGAAACTTTCACCAGTATTAAGGATAAGATCTCAAGTATTCCGAAGATTGACCAGTTGTCAACCCTCCAGAGATTAAAAGGAGGAAACAAGAAAAAAACGAAATCTGCGTTTGAGCGTAACATGGACCTTCCATCGCCACAGGGGGAGATATACACATTAGAGGACACGCTGTTGAAAATGGGTGAGATGGCAGGTTCTGCTGTTAATGTTGTTAGCACTTCAAATAGGACAGCCAATTCAACTGAGAAAGGTACTGCATCGAAGATGAAGAAACACCTTGAGCAGACAGCGAGAACAGTGAAACAACTAGAAAACACTGAACAAAAAAACCAGAACATACTAAAATCACAGGTAAAGTCTAGAATGGTTGATTGAGTCGCATGATTGGCTGATTGATACTTTAGTTTCATCCAATCATGGCTCGTCATTTGGAAAATTAAAAATGCTAACTACAGTATTAACTTGTGATTTTTATTAAATTAAGATATCTAATATTTAAATAATACTGAACACTGATTCTGAATTCCTTTTGTAGATAAATTAATAATGATAGTAATGAAATAATTATGATAATATTGATATTGATTTATATTAATTTTATTTTTCTTTAATCTGACTTTGAGTTGAGTATACTGTCAGCACCTTGAGACGATTTTATTGTGGAAGGCGCTTCCGAAATATCCTATATCCTATCCTATCTTATTGACGTCATTATTATGATAACGATAATCCTGTTTGATTGATTGATGATGAAGTAGTCATTCCTTCATGATACTTTAATTCCTTTTTGTTTGTACAGACGATCTCAAAAGCAAGCATAGACAATCGCACCAAGGCACTTGCAATGGGTGTTCGCTTGGCTGAAACAACCGCTATGAAATTGTTGAGAGTGGAACGACTTGCTGAACACGTTTTACAGTACCCAGATTCACGTGGAATTGCAGTTAAAGTGGGTATTTTTTTTACTATTGATATTATTATTGAAATAATTATCTGTCTGTTCTATAGCTAAAATTTCAAAGTGTATTTTGTGCGCCAAAAAATTGGAATTTGTTTTTATGTTCATATATTTCATTATTGTATTTTACAGAAATTGAGACACACTAAATGCAGCCTATGAGTACAATAAACAGCCCCATAAACTTTTTGTTTTGGCTTTTACAGGAAAAAGTAATACCTTCATTATTAAAGATGCAAAAAACTTGGGACAAGGCACTTGCAGAGCACGTGCACATGTGCTTAGTGTTGTTAGGCTATGTGGCACCAGTCAAGGCTCGAGGTCTTCGAGTTCTGAGTATCGACGGAGGCGGTGCACGGTATGAATGCATTTTAATATTGATGAGCAATTTGTCAGATTTGTGCAGTTTTGAAACTAAGCAAATTGATATCTTTGTGCAGAGTCAAAACTAGGCAAGACAGTCTTCCATTGTTTTTCAAAACAGCGCAATGAAATCTTACACAATTTCAATGGCCTATTCTTTATCGTAAAGTTTCAAGATATGTATCATCTTAATCTCCTATACTTTCACATTGAAAGCTACTGAAATAACCACAATCATGTTTGCGCAAACCCAACTAACTGTGATTACTTGCATTGCAACTTGAATTTTGTTCCTTCCTGCAAAGTGAATTTTGTGTGATGCAGACAAATGAATAAAAAGTTTTGTGAACAAATATGTGAAAATTAAAAGAAAGCATTTGAATAATGAGGATGGATATATTGGTTGTTCCAAAAACAAATGTATAGTATACAGACTAACCTTTGAAAATTCCTTTCACAATTTATAATTTATATCATTTGTGATACCAATCTCAAGAATGACCTCAGGGTGCCAGAAAAGTTCTGTAGCTTTTACCCAATTTCTAAAAGTAATTTGAGTATTTTTTTTTCTCTCTCCCAGAGGAGTAATTCCAATTGTGGTTTTACGTGAGTTTGAACGTCGCACAAATTGCAGGATCCGGGACATGTTTGACTATGTCATGGGTGTCAGCTCGGGTGGTGTGCTAGCGTTCTTGCTGACCTTTGGCAAGTCAACCTTGGCTGAATGTTCGGAGATCTATAAACAACAATCGCTGGAAGTTTTTAAACGAAATTCACTAATTGGCACTGGAAAACTTTTCCTCAACCATGCATTTTATGACACAGAAGGTTGGACTAAAATTCTAAAGTGAGTGAGAAAAATATAAAGGTGTTACTGTCTTAAGCTCTGTAATTAAAAGAGATGAGTACAGAAAATATACATAGTACTCCGTTTTCTGCATTTCGCAGTGGATGTATTTTATTTTATAATGCCATTTTCAGACAGAAAAATAAATATTTATTTAAAACTAATTAGTTGAATTTAGTGTTTTTTTTGACAGCATACGGATTAACATCAACTTTTCTTTTTTTAGAACGTATCCAATGGCCTCGGAGAGAATGATAGAATTTGGTAAAGATCCAACGTGTCCCAAGGTTAGTTGAACTTTCTGATCAAAAGCTTTGTCAACTTATCATAGTTTTATATACAATGATTCCTTCTGAACCTGTGAAACCAGTGGTAGAACTGACCAGTTTTGAGCTTAGTATATCAGGATTCATGTGACCAGTACCTGTGATGTGTCCCTATATGGATGTGATATGACATCATCTTGCCCATTTATATATGATTGTAATGTGACATCATCATGCCCATATATGGATGTGATGTAACATCATCATTCCCATATATGGATGTGATGTGACATCATCATTCCAATATATGGATGTGATGTGACATCATCATTCCAATATATGGATGTGATGTGACATCATCATTCCAATATATGGATGTGATGTGACATCATCATGCCCATATATGGATGTGATATATGTACAAATCAGATATTTGTCATGGAAAACTATTCAGTCAATAGACCTTTCTGGAGTGTCGTCTGCTGCATCTAATGTGCTTGATCCAATGACCGGCGTAAAAATGTGAAGCACTTACAGGCTTTGTTGGCAGGAAATGCTATATAAGTCTAACATATTATTCTTATATGTTTTTTTCACAAATAGGTTGCAACTGTAGCAACGTTGATAAACCAAGGTGCTCTAAAAGATTACCTCTTCCGTAATTACAACCTGCCGGCTGGTGTGACATCCCGGTACATGGGAAGCTCGTCTTACCCCTGCTGGCAAGCTCTCAGGGCCTCGTCGGCAGCCCCTGGTTACTTTGAGGAGCACAAACTTGACGATTACATTTTCCAGGTAAATATTCTAAAACTACTTTTATGATATTAAAGGTAATACACATTTAAAGGCAGTTTTGCCTACCAGCTTGTCTACTTATGTACAAGTGATGTTTATGTACGTTATGTGTGTATATGACTGCATCATGTGTGCAGAGTTTATATGTTGGTGACTCACTTGTATACAAATCACCACTTCAGACCCCTCTTCCCCATCATAAATAATGAACCAATACTGGACAGAGACTGTCAGGCCCTCATGCTAGAATCTCACTTTTGAGGCTTAAGTTTAGCTAAACCATCTCAGATCTAAACTGGGCCTGTACTACTGTGCCTCATTTACTCTAGGGTTTGGAGCTGCCAGCTCAAATCTATGTAAATATGGCAGACAACAAACCTTCAACTGCAGGTTCAAATGTGTTTGCAGGGCAGCAAACAATCAACCACATCATCATAACTGCCATAATTTCAGACTACTCAAGGGCGAATAGAGACACCACAACATCGCTTTGAGTGACACGATACCCTGTCTACCTTCTCTCACCTGAAGGAATCATGTGAAAAAAGACACTCGTATAAAATTGTGTTAATATATTCCTGTATTTTCTGACCTGTATTTATTTGATTCGTTTTTAGATAAAGTATTGGGTGAAATTTATTCCTATATTCTACTGGATATGCTCTATACTGATTCTTATTAAATACAGCATTTTGTTAAACATATTCCTATATTTTACTATATCTGTTATATTTATTTGATTTGAATCTTATTAAATACAGGATGGTGGTGTCCTGACAAACAATCCTAGTGCTCTGGCAATACATGAATGCAAGCTTCTTTGGCCGAATACACCGATACAGTGTGTGATCTCGCTTGGCACAGGAAGATGGGATCCACAAGGGGCAGAGGCTAACCAAGGTTTCAGCACACTGAAGGAAAAATTAGTCAAGATAATGTTGAGTGCAACTGACACACAATGTGAGTGATGAAGATTCTCAATAAAACTTAATAAATCCTAGAATGTTTTTTTTTTTCTAAGATTGAGTTTTTAAAACTATGCAATTGGCAATTGGTGTCCCTCTAATTAGAGAGCCCTCCAATTAATGGCAATTTCCTATTAAAGACCACTTCATTGTAACGCTTATTTTTTATCTTTATGATAATTATTTTTCTAACTATAGACCAAAGCTTCTAACGATGGCCATGCCATAGATTTGTTCCAAATTTCAGAAAACGCACCTCAAGATGCTTGGAATGGCTCCAGAAACATGGAACGATTGATTGATTGATTGATTGAAATGCCACTCCCAGATTGTAAAACTGATTTTTCAAAGCAGCAGTATTCATTGATAGTGGTGGTCTTATGCCCCCAAAGCCTCACTGGTACCATCATTGGCTGCTAAAGACCATGAAAACCCCGGCCCCGAAAGTAGTCATTAATTGGAGGAGACCTTGGGTTTCATTTTGCATGTTTTAAGATAAACTAAAGCTGGGCAATCACTGCGCAAGAATCTATGGGAAACGCAGCACCACAATGCGCGCAGCGGATAGTTTATAATGACAATCCGAGAGCAGATTCGTTGGCTGATGATCGTACGACAGAAAAATAACAAAATAGGTATTGATTCAATATTATTTTGTTCTTTCGTCCATAGCTGTCCACACAATCATGAATGATCTTTTACCTCCGAAAACCTACTACCGTTTTAACCCCTTTCTTTCGGAGGACTTCGACCTGGATGAAAACCGGCCAGAGAAGTTAGCCACGATGGAGAACGACATTCACTCGTATTTAGAACAAAATGAACAGAAAATTACTGATGCAGTAAATGCTCTGATGCTGAAGAAAACATCACTGCAGAAGGTTGGCGACTGGATAAACCATCAGAAGGATCTATACCACACTTAAATGGTTCTGGTCATCTCTTTGTTTTCTTTGTAATATACTTTTTTCATAATGCTCATGGTTGAAGTAATTTTAAAAACGGGTATTGTAAAATCTAAGAAAAAAACAATCTAAATTATTTTCATTATTATTAAGGAATTTACTATGATTTCTTTCTCGATTTTCAAGTGTAATCTTACAGAAAGATTTCAGTCGCAATCAGTAATCTTGTTCAACTGATTGCATTTGTGTACATTAAGACTAGTATTTTTTAGTTGAACAAAAAGACTCCATCCATCTATGAAATGGATCTCAAATGCGTACAGGTGTAATTATGATAAAATATTAATTTTTTACTCTGTTCTGATTTGATTACATCATGCTGTAGAATGAAGGAAGATTAGTATATTTTAATTTTGGTTCAACAAGAAAGATTTTATCCATATGATGAAATGGATTACTGAATAGTTGTTTATAAAAAAAAAATATTCAGTTATTAAAGTGTTCTAATTTATATAATGTTTTATTTACATCATGCTGCCTAAATTTTTAGAACTAATTTTACTATTATTAAATATAAATTTATAATGCAAAAAAAAATACTTAAATTTTACTTAACTCATTAGAAAGATGTTTTATAATTTTATTTATTTGCAAATTAATAACCTGCTTTATGTGTATGGTGCAGCTGTATGGTTATGGGGCTTAGCCTATGGAGGGCTCATCACATTAGTTTGTTAAAGATATCTAGTAGGATTATGGATAAAAATAATCTAGTGTGACCCTGGATTAACTTAAGGTGCTCTGTTTTCAATGGCCAAGGAGTATATACAGAGCACACAAATTCTCGTGCTACAATTTCCAAGAACATGTAATATGTATTCGAGTCAATATATTACTTTTGTGTTGAAGTACAAGAGGCTCTTTTCAGAAACATTATATAATTAATGTGCAATTTTACCTACAAAAAGTGGTGTTTATTATATTATGAAATATAAGACTATATAAAAGTGAACATTTTTAAAAATATGCCTCATGATTATGATTAAACATACCATCAGCTGTGTTCAAATTCTCCATTGCTTTATTTTTGTATCATGTTTTTTAACTTGCTGTATATACATATGCACATTGGTGGCTGATCCAGGAGTTTTTTATTAGGATATTTTTTGCCAGGGGCACCAGCAGCTAGTGGTGGATTCAAGTTTGAAGGGGGTTGGGGGTGGGTAGCTGGTCTGGGCCCTTAAATTTCTTGAACTAATTTTTTTAATGGAGAAAAAGGAAAATTATACAGTATAAACTTTGTCATTTTCAGCCATCTACAGGTGTCTCAATCATAAATTCTCTTACGCTAGCCCCCAGCCATGGTGGGGCTGAGGTGGTCTATACCTCTCATCTGTGAAAGTCCCTCCCTGAACCCCTCTATTTGGAATTCCTGTATCTGCCACTGGTGGCAATCGAGGATCTATAGTCCAATGGGGTGGACATGTTGGTTGGTTAGTAATTCTTTTAGCTGCTACCAAAAAGATGGGGGGTGGGGAGTGAGCTTCCCCTTTCGCCACCACTGGATCTGCCACTGCAAATATTCCAAAATAACTTAACAGTTTTTGAGATACAAAAATATAATAAACCCCCGAGTTCTTAGAGTGTTTGCGTCGGGTCGATAGGCCTACAGAATCACCGATTTTGGAGTAACTGCAAAACTGAAATTTGTCTAATATGCAAAAAAATTTGCGTATAATACACAAAACTATAAAATTAGAGTTCAGCGTATGCTACAATACAAAGCTATGAAATTCGATCATCAAAGTCCACTGCAATGCAAAGAATCCACAATACAGTATCTCGACTATTGAAGAAATACATATACACACTACAGCAATAGTAAATTAAGAGGATAATAATAACCACAAAATTGACCAAAATATTTATAATATCATTAATATATCAGATAGTGTTTATTTGGAAACTATTTTAATATGGGAGAATGTTTAAATTTCTTTCTGGTTCTGGTGGGTAAAGCCGACTTTCTAAAGACTCCAAAAGTAGGATTATACCAGGAGTCGTAGATATAAAATACTAAAGTGGTCGGAATTGCATGCATGAAAGGACGAATAATAGCTCAATAAAGGCCTATGACAGATTAACTACGATCGGGACGTATATGTACAAGCTATGAGTCTAACCTTTGTACCATAAGCGCTTTTACTTTAACCCTGTGAATAATGTTTTTATCACCAAGCATGAGTTAGTGATGATTGAAATCAGAAAACATTAAAATCTGATTCTTAATTTGGTTAAAATTATGTTACCAGTCCTGAAGTTATCATGACGTCATATAGGCTACTAAATACTTAAGAATATTCTTTAATTGCAGTCCACATACAAGTTTAAATTATCGAGGACCATTATTATTTTCCACATCACAACAAAGCAATATTTAATTTTACATGATAACGTGTATCGCTAACTAATCAATCGCAAACAATTACACATGGTATATCGAACGACCGCTGAGATGACATCCCCTGAAATTTCTAATAGATCTAAAGTTTCCAGGCGTTATTCATAACCAGCGCAAAGTAGTTGTCATCATCGATGGAAGCACTCACACCGCTGTAGTAGTCAATGAACTCGTCTAATGTGACCTAAGTAAAGTAAAAAGAAATTCAATATTTAAAAACCTACCACTAAAAGTAGAGCTGCGATATATTTAAAAACTGTACATACATTTTCATTTCATTTTGTTCTGTAATAATAGTAGGTCATTGACAATGATATAATGATGATGGTGATATAAAAAAACCTGTAACATTGGTGATATTGATGGTGATCATAATTATGATGATGGTGTTGATGATGATATTAAATGATAATGGTGATCATAATGTTGATGGTGATGATGATGATGCCAGTGGCGGATCCAGAGATGTCCGACGGGGGGGGGGGGGGGGGGGGGGGGGGGGGGGGGGGGAATGGGCGAAAATGGGGAAGATCGAGACTACCCAAGGGGACCGGAGACATGCCCCCACAAAAAATTTTGTTTTCTAGACGCCTGAAAATAACATCTGAGGATCTAAGGCGTTTTGGGCGATCAATTATTTCTTTTTCTTTATTTTTTGTTTTTGTTTTTTTACTTTCCGAAAGGAGAGTGGGGCGCGGCCAGCCCCCCCCGCCCCGCC